CTTTAAATAGGCCATTATAAAATGGATGCCATCCATTCTATCTGTACAGATAAACCAATGACCTGACTGATGGTCACTTCCAGAACCTGCCAAGGCAGCTTGTAAAGGCGGATTCACAGCGGTGCTGTCCTCCCTGCCCAGAGCTTCAGGGATGCATGCAAAGAGTAGCCTCTCACCACAGAAACAAATATCATGAGACCTCTTTCTTAAGGACCCGATGGTGTTTGAAATTACTCACTAACCAGCTGCTGTGTTTGCAAAAGGTGGGTGCCAAATCCATGTGTTTATACAGGCACACACCCACCTTTGTGGAAGAAGAGCAAGCACCTTGCAGAGAATCACACTGAAGGCAGCTCTCCTTACCTCCCACAAAGAAATTCTGTGTAAATAATTAGAAGGGGCAGCCATGCCCTCAAGAGCCTCTACCACCAAGGACAAGCAAAAGAAAGGAATGGGTTCCACAGTGCCAAAGCTAAATGAGAAATGCGGGATACTCTTCCAGTTCCCTGGTACACTCTGTCTAGATACCAGTATCTTTAAAAAGCTCTTTCAAGAAAGAGAATTGAAAGCTACCAAAAAAAAAAAAAAAAACCACACAAAAAAACGAAAACAAAACCTTTCTAAAAAGAAGGTGTTGCTTTTTTTATCTATCAAATTAACAGAGAAAAGAAAAAAGCCCAGCTTTGAATTAGAAGAGAGAGCTTATATAAAATACTACTCTGAATGTAACTGAGAAGAAATGCAGCTAATCTTTGTGCAGCAAATCTTACCAGTATAATTCTTTTTCCCCTTTTATGTTTCCTCCTGGCTTTTCAGTTGTTAGGCTAATGTATCACAACTGAAATAGGTCTAGTCAATAAGGCAGGAAAGGTTTTCAGTTTCATAGGATAATAAGGAATGCTGTAATTTTTGCTGGGTTCTGTACTTGAGCTTCTGACTGAAAATACTCTGTTAATTTGCAAGCTAGCCAATGTTCCCTGGAGAAGTAAATGATAGAGTATTTGAGCCTTAAACCCAGGAGCAAACCGATGTAAAACCTTCCACAGACGTTATGCCCATCCAGCTACCTCTTGCCTGTGCTTCGGCCTCTTTAAAGGCACAAGGCTGTTGGATGGAAGCCTGACATGTCTGGGGGTGACTGCCAGCCCTCAGTGACACCTGAGAACATGAATGTCAGTCTGGGAATGTAAATGGCGCCTCCCGATAATGCAGCACCTCTGAGGAGCTGGATTGCATTGCCTGGAATTGCAAACAGCCCAATCCCTCCTCTGGAGACTTCAAATACCGATAGCCCTCTGGCCATAAAAATACTGTCAAACGAGCCCTCCAGTAATGAAGAACAGTCTGAAGAGAATAGCTCTGTGATGCAAAGCCAAGGAGAAATACTGCCTGAGAGGAAAAGTGTGTGTGGGGAAGATTATGCCTTATGTTTATACAGTGTTTTGAGTGCTGTGTCCAGTTCTGGGCCCCTCAATTCAGGAAAGACATTGAGGTGCTGGAGCAAGTCCAGAGAAGGGCAACGATGCAGGTGAAGGGTTTGGAGGATAAGTCCAATAAGAAGCAGCTGAGGGAGCTGGGGGTGTTTAGCCTGGAGAAAAGGAGGCTCAGGGGGGACCTTATTGCTCTCTACATCTGCACGAAAGGAGGTTATAGCCAGGCAGGGGTCAGCCTCTTCTCCCAGACAACAAGTGACAGGACAAGAGGAGTTGGCCTCAAGCTGTGCCAGGGGATTCAGGCTGGACATAAGGAGTAATTTCTTCATGGAAACAGTTGTTAAACATTGGAATGGGCTGCCCAGGGGAGTTGGTGGAATCACCATCCCTGAAGGTGTTGAAGAAACGACTGGATGTGGCACTCAGTGCCACGGTCTAGTTGACAAGGTGGTGATCAGTCAAAGGTTGGACTCAATGATCTCAGAGGTCTTTTCCAACCTAAATGATTCTGTAATAGTGTATCTGCACTGTATGTATGTGTATATGCTTATGTATGTGTATTTGTACCTGCTTCAGGAGGACAAGCACCGTGATTTAAAAAGCAGACACAACCTATTTTCCACGAAGCTGCTTCTCCAGTGCCAAATTTCATTCCAGCCATGTGGATTTATTATTGCAATGCAGACTCTCCGCAAGACACATCTTTGCCTTCTTGTGAGGCTTTTGTGTCAGGTCTGAAAGCCCAAAAATGTCACATGAAAAACTTTCGGTGATTTCAGAGGCTTATAACTCGGCTCAGAAAATAAATGCAAACTGAGAGTTGTAGGGTTCCAGTTATTACAAATTATTGCAGTAATAAATTATATAGGGTTTAAATTTCAGAGCAGGTGGTTTGTGAAGGTGTCTGGAAAGTTTTTATATTTACCACCCAAATTTGTACCCAGAGTGCAGGAGCTACGGGAATCCTTAACTTTTAAAAGCTAAGCCTATAAACTGAACTCATGAAACTAGTTTGGTTTTTAGCATTTCTTCCCTACAGGCATAAAAGTTGAGCTTGTGTGATAGCACGTGTCTATTTATTTTACTTGGCAGACCAAAAATAAAAATCAAAGTGCTGTTCTAAGGAGGCAGCAATCTGAAGGCTCTGGGAATGGCATCAGAACAGGGCTTTGATCCCTTCAGCCTCTACTACCAAAGTGTCCATCCCCAGACAGAGTTGCCAGTATCACCATTTTCAAATGACTGTCTCTACTTATAGACACAATTACACAAACTTCCTGGTGTGTTGTGCTGCACAGCAGGATGAATCAGTGATGGGTAGTAAGGGTGAGTGCTACAGAACAGTGCATACTAGCTGTATTTTAAAATGACTGAGATAATCTCCAAACAAATCTCAAAAGATTTCCTTTTTTAACTGCCTGGGGAATATAAAATGTATTACTTTGTTGCTAACATTTAAAATTAGCAGCAAAGAAGCAGAATTACTCTTACACTACCCAATAGTCTGTGAAGCCTGCAGACTGGGAAGTGACCAGGAAATCCCACATGAGGCTCCAAGTATAAAAATTAATGTATATAAAAATTACCAAAGGAGACAGTGCAAAGTCTGCTGCAACTCATTTCCCAATACTTTTGCCTTAAGTTTACATATCTAAGAGAGTGATTTTTTATTTGGAAAAAAATTTTTGTCTATTTGGTAGATCTCTCCTCAGGAGCACTTTCTTCTTTCTCTTACCCAAATTTTCCAATTCTCAATCACATCCTACAATAGATATTCAGCCTTCTAGTACCAAAAGTGATTCATGTTCATCCTTAGTGTTTGAAGTTTTCAAGTATTTTCAGATTTACTTCTGCTAGGCATCTCCTAGTCAAATTAATATATGAGTGTTTGCCTTGCTCTACTTAAATAACCAAGTACGTCTGTAGGTTGTTTTTCCCACTTAGCTTCTTCTCCAGCCTGGCAGCCTCTAAATAAGGTGTTTGTACCGTGGGCATGCTGAAAGTTCAAAATGAGTGTGAGAGGGGAAATAAACACTAACAAATGCAGTTTTGTTTCGGCAGCTGCTGCAGTGAGAGCGTCGGTGAAGGATTTCAGTGATTAGGAGCTAACGTGATCAGTTCTGATTGTGCCTCCCTCATAAAAGGCTGCCACCATGAAGTCTGACAAAAATTTGAATTCAGCCCTCAAGTTCTTCAGTTGGAACACTAATAACAGTATTAGTTCTGGATGGGGCACTGGCTTGGTAAGTGAGGCAACCTTCCCATATGGAAAACGCAGATGGCCCTTGACATATGAAGCTTAAGATTGTTGGAGAAAGTTAATTTAGAAGTAATTTTTACAGCTGTGAAGAACGATTAGACACCACAGGCAAGCCAAATACTTTATGAAACACCATCAGCAGTGTGTTCCACTGCTAAGAAAGTTGTTAAGTTTGCTTTCGTACGCTGGGTTTGAAGACGATGAGCATATTTGCTTGAAAAAGATATTTGGATTGCTTTCATTACACATATCTTATTACTAAAAAGCACTGTTGACACTTTGTATAAAAGTAAGCCATAGCTTAGAATAGTTGCAATTCATTTTGTACCTTGACCTACCACTTAATCTATAAGCTTTGAAAAACAGTAACAAAAAAGTAAGTATAGCATTAAAAAAAGCTTTCTTTTGCTACTTGCCATTCTCAGACTTTAATAGCAGCGTGAAAAATATGAGCTGAAAGAGGGAAAACTTTAGAGGATGATACAAGAAAAGATGCACTAATTTCAGGCTTTATGCCCATTAAAAATAGAAACCACTGCCATAATTCTTTTCTTTTTACAGTGTTTTATAAAATAGTTAAAGAGCTCCTTCTGTGAAAGATCTGGAAGTAAGTTACTCTGAAAAAAGCCAGTCTTAGAGCACAAAAAAAGAGTCCATTTTGGTAAGACTATAACCAAAGAAAACCTACCAGTTGTTCTAAGCAGTGGTACATGCTGAATTTTTCATGGGACCTGTTTGCAAGACTCAGGTAAAGAACACTGTTGATCTTTTAAACCTCTTTGAGAATCCTTTAGCAACTGTATTTCCAGAGGGGAGGGGGATTTACTGTCCCACCTCTCTCCCCCCTCCCCAAAGTGACATTTCACAACCAGTTGTCCATCACTGTGTTAGGCTGAAAAGCAAATAGAGCCATATATTGTTCCACAGACCTCTCACAATAGAAGATTAGGGGTTTGTTATAAGTTTATAAAGCAATGTTTTTATTAATTACAAGAGCATTTTTACACTAAGGATTTACTCACACTCACTGGAAAGGGCTGTGTAACTGTCTTTGCTATTTAACATTTACATTTGACAGACAAATTTAATATTCTGATCAAACACCTCACTGAAATTCTGCTTCCAATTCATAATATTCATAAGTTAAATTAATTAAAACCACAAATATTTTTGACTGCTTGCCCCAATGGTTTTGTGTGTTTTAAAGCATTCCAAAATTTTGTTAGGTGAACTCTATCACAGTCTTCTGAACAATGAATCCCCAAGCATTTGTTTGATTTTCCAAAGGAAAAAATGTGTTCACTTACATGATTTCTTTTGTTTTCTCCGTCTCTTATAGATGTAATAACTGTTTCAGAAAAAACTGTTGATCCAGTTTTATTATCTGTAACCTGATACAGCAAAAGAAGAACAAAATATCAAACCACATCTTTTTATTAGCCCTTTGCTACTCTCAGCCCTACATTCTTCAATAATTAACCCACTCCCACCCCCTCCTTTTTTCCCCGTTTTGCTGTCACTCATATTAAATGCTATTCTGAGGGGGAAAAGTAGATGACAAGGCTACCTCCTTATCTATTTAAAATGTCACTGTGATGAAGGTGGCTGAGCAGGAGATGGTCATTCTTTTATGACCCATGTAATAGCTGTAGCTGTGTTCTGTTTTTAGGAGGCACGTTTTTCAACATAAATTATTATTTCACATTAACATTTATGACGTGTCCTTACACAGTAACTAATCAAGCACGTAAGATACAATAAAACCCTAAAGTAATTATCATCAGGAAAGTTTATGCTCTAAGTTATTTTATTCCTCCCCAAAACATACAAAATTGTTTTTATTTTTGAAGGAAAGGTGTATAAGAATGAACAGCTCACCATATACGTGTTTTCTCATACCTTATCAATTTCTTGATGAGTCTGAACAGTTCTGTTACCAATTCTGGTTTCCTTGTCAGACTCATTATGGTAGTTGGGAGGTAAGTTTTCAAAGTTTACTTCTGACAGTTTTTTTGCCCCTTCCTCTTCAGCTTCCATCTGCCAAATTTAAAAAAAAATTAACAAACAACTGAAAATTAGCAAAAATGACACAAAGGAGAAGAAGCAAAGCTTCTGGTGCAGCCCTCAGTAGCACCCTGTTGAATGACATTCTGCTGTTAGCACAGATGCCCCTGGATGAGAACGCTTACTCAGCTGCTTCAGACACTGAGCACAGCAGCTCTTCTAATGGACTAGAAAAACAGTGGAGAGCTAAACCCTTGAGCTCTGGGCTGTTAGAGCCAAAGTCAGTCCCCGTGAGGAAAAAGGGTGCAGACTAATGAACAACTGGTATCTGCACAGCCTGATGCCAGTCAAGAGCCCAGCTTTCTATTTTTCCCACAAAACCACTAAAGATTTAAGACAGACTTTCCTATCCGACAAAGAGGAGAAAATATTCTGGCAGGACAGAGAGACAAAGCCCCTCGGAATCAACAGCAGCGGTCCTATAGATGAGGGTGCATACATCCAGAATTTCATTCTGTATTTCAGTTCCCACTGTCATTGTTTGCCAGATGAAGAAGGGTATGAGTCTTGTAAACAACACAAACTCTGAATAAATCGTATCCCTTTGTTGTTTGCAACCACTGTAACAAAGCTAGGAGGCCACAAGTTCAGCCAGGCTGAACAACTGAATTTTTCCCAAGATAAAATTTCTCTTTTTGGTGTGTCTGTTTATTTTAAACAACAGCTGCAAAGCTTTTAAAGTGTAAAGCATTTATCTACTAAGATGCAGCTCAAACAACACACATTTTGTGCTGTACACAGACCATTCCTCAGTCCAGAACTGACTACAGGAAGAGTAAAACAGGCAGAAATTTTGACAACATCTTTATTTATAACTAAGCCTACTTGCAGCACTGTAAAGAATGTTTTGTCTCAATGTGTTTTCAGTCTAAATTAAGTGGATGACAGAGACACATTTCAGCAACTGTCCAGATGACAGTAGAAGTTCAGAAATTACCTAATTATAATAAACAAAGGTCTGGTTCCCCCAGTGGTTGCCAGTTACAGAGGTTTTTTGACTACGTATTTTTGAATGAGAGGAAAAGAGAACCTGGGAGATTCTTAGCATGAAGGGGGGGAAAGCACACAAGAAAGGGGAGCGCAGGGACAAAATCTTTTGACAAGCGGTATGAGACAATGGCTCGGGGTCTGGTCTCAATTCCTGGCTTTGAAATGGGTCCTGTGCGATTCTGGGCCGGCAATTTGAGATCAAGACACGGAATTACATCTCATTCTCCACACATGTTTTCAGGACTGTCTCACAGCTTTGAATCCTGGTTTGGGATAGTCGTGTGTCTTAGTTCCTGCTGCACCAAGACAATATAACTAATTCTTCGCTTCACTCCTCCCCTCGCCACGTACTGTTCCTTTCTCACTCTTGGGATCCAGACGGGACTGTTTGCCCGCACCTTTGCCTCGCTGTCCGCCGGCACCGCTGCGGGAGGGCGGCTGTCCGGGGACATCGCAGCGATGCCCGCACTCGGCGAGCCCCGAGCGGGCGGGGAGGCTGCCAGGGGACAGCGACAGCGCCGGGGCAGCGCCGGGACCCCCGCGGCCGGTCCCCCCATCCCATCCCCGCCCCGCCTGCGGGGGACAGCGGCTGCTGCGCCGGGGGGATTCCGGGAGAGCTCAGGTCCCGCCCCGGGCCGCGGCTCCTCCCGGCAGGGCCGCCCGCCCGCTCCTTTGTCCCTCATCGGGCGCGGGTGATGCTGGCGGCGCTGCCCGCAGGTGCGGCCCTGCCCGGGGGGCTGCGGGACGAAGGAGCCCCTCACTCACCACCCCCCCCCGCCCCTCGCCGCCTCCTCACCTCCTGCACCGCGTTGCGCAGCTTGTGCTGCGTGTCCTCCATCAGCGCCTCCACCTCCCGCAGCATCTCGCCCAGGCTGGCGGCCCTTCTCCGCCCGCCGCCGCCGCCCGCCGCGGCGCAGCACAGCGCCCACAGCAGCGCCCACAGCAGCGCCCATCGCCGCCCCGGACCCGCTCCCCGCCGCATCCCGGTGGCCGCCGCTCCCGCTGCCGCTCCCGCCGGGGCCGCTCCGCCGTGCGGGGCTGGCGGGCGGAGCCGGGGCGGGGCGGGGCGGGACCGGCGGCACCTCAGCGCTAGTCCGGCCCCGCAGCCCCCGCTGGAGCCCCCGGCCCGGGGAGTGCGAGGGGCAGGGCAGGCAGCGGGGCCCTGGGCAGAGAAACTCACCCCGGGGGTAGCGGGGAGGACAGAAGGGCAGAGATGCTGAGGGGAGAGGGAGAGATGCTGAGGGAAAGGGGAAGATGCTGAGGGAAAGGAGCAATGGGAGTTTCCCGTTCAGACACGAGACTTTCCTTCTCTCGGTGTTTTGAATAGGTTTGATGCGAAGGGGAGGGTGAGAGCTGCGTGGCACCTCCATTATGTGTTTTGCTTTCCAGGCTCCGGCGAAGACTCTCAGAAGATGTTTTCAGCTCCAAGGACCAGCTCGGTCTCAGAGGAGTGACATGTCCTGCATCTGGCTGGCCAGCACCCCACTCTCCCTGATTGATTCCTTTCAAAGTTTTTTTAAAAAATACTCAGACAACATCATAATTTTCTATCTCTGTGTGTATTCCCAAATTCCCACATTACTTTTCCTCTTTGTGCTTCACCCCAAGAACTTCACGGACAGATTTTGCTGCAGTCATCTTGCTGCTCTGGGGCAGCACTGTTGTTCCAGGAGGGAACTGTCCTATAAGCCTCATTTTATTTTGGAGCCTGAGTGAGAAGTAAAGGTGAGTAAACTATTTAAGTCCTGCAAGCGCATTATTACAATACTCGACAGTATAAACCCAGTGCTATTTTCAGGCTAAGGCAGCTTCAGTCAGTTCTGAATGCTCCCAGAAATGCAGCAGAGAACAGTAGAGACAGGAAGGCCCTTGTGTCCCCAGAGGGAAACCCTTCCCTCAGTCTCCCAGCCACAGCACATCAGGCTTCTGTTCAGTGCCACAGAAGGTTTCGTTCTGGACACACCTTAAGACTTAGTGTATTGGTACAGTAGTTCGATTTTTTTTCGTAGCTGCCAACTCTTGGACTACACAATTTAAGTAATAATGAATGATAGTAGCTACCTGGAATCACTCAATAGCTGAACTATGTTCCATCACATTGTAGGAAGTATGGCATATGGAACAATCCTTTACTGGCAGAGAAATGTTTAGACAAGATACTCCTCTTTTCCACCTCTGTTTTTATGGTTAGGTTTCCAGTTCACCCACTGCCTCAAATCAGCTTAATAACATTCACAATTTACAGGTGACACTTAAGTAACATTTAGAACGTTAATTTCCTTAGTTTTGAGGAGTTACTGAAGTTTAGATCAGGTACAATGAAAACATTAAAAAAAGCTCTTTGAGGCCCAAATTCCCAAAGGCATATGATCATCAGATTCCCAAGGAAATGGATTAGAAATTGGATACTTCTTTGTAATATCTTTGTAAATTTGGGGCTCAAACCAATTTTCCAAACAATCCAAACATATATAAATGTTAGTTGACTGAGTAGTTTAGAAGAGGTAGATCTAAAGAGCTGAAGTCTCCCTTTCTTGCAGTGAGACAAGGGCCACAGTCCCAAACCCTGGTTTGGCAAGACTCTCCCATACTCCCTTCAATGAATGTGGTGACATTGACGGCTGACAGGATGTGAACTCATGCATTGTTTGGCCAATTATCCAGATGCTGCAGCATACACTTTATTCAGTATTGATGCAGTGAATCAAGACTGAATTCATCTTTCAACATGGAGAAGTACTGTGCAGTTAACTTACAATGCAAGCACAGTTACTCTGAGTGTTTTAACGGATTTTAACTCAGTTTTTCTAGCTCCTTTGAGTGAGCTTTCTTTTGACGGAGGTTAGGCTGAGTGGTGAGGATACACTTGTATCCCAAAGTGGAAGATCTGCAGCTGAAGTCAGTGCAGAATAACTCTTCTGCTTTTCCTCTGTCACCTTGATTTACTTCACAATAACTTTCTTGTGCACACAAGGCTTTAGGCAGACTATGATTATAGCCGGGGAGACAAATGATGTCTTCTAAGCTGAACCATCAGGAACCCTTAGGGTGCCTGCTTAGAATTGCACTTCACCCCAGAGCTGCTGAAGTGCCCTGCACCCATAATTGCATTTGCAAGGACAGCCAGGGGCACAGGGGTGACATACCTCGTTCATATGTTGAGTCAGGTGATCAGGTTAACACAAAACAGATCTAGTTCACAGTGCTCCCATGACTTGCCTGAGCTCATCAGCCCTACTGAGAGACTGAAATACATGAGGGCACGGGGCTATGCACTTATTTATTTCAGCATAAGTGTTTAATTACTTATACTGAGAATGTTAAACCTGGGTTATCTCCCACTGAGGCTAGTGGGAAAATTCCCATATATTCCAGAGGGACTTACACTCTATCTTTAAAGAGAATTACTGAGGATCAGAAGGAGTTTATAGTGTTGATCACCTCTTCTGGTCATTTGTTCTACTATTTTTATCTTCTATGATTGAAGCAACAGTGACAACAACAACAACAAAGAAAAAATGTAAAAATTCATCTGTATTTAACCTAACAGAACCCTGTAATCTCTCTACTGTATTTTTACAGCAGGAAGAAAGTCATGTCTATTGAAAATATTGCTTCTGTTTAAAAGCGTGCTGCTGGGGACATGGGATTAACCGTGAATAGCAGGTTATTATGTTAGACTGGGGCAAAGTCTTGTTTAAAATGATATTAGGTCAAAGATGTCAGAGAATATGTTTTGGACTATAACAAATTTTCATAGCTGAGGTGCAACCCAGAGAGACGATCTTTTTCCAAGACAAACCAACATAGCTAAAAAGCATCTCTTCCTGAACGCATACATTGCACAAAAAACAATACATTACACAAAAGCACATATAATCTTTTTTCCAAGACAGAATTTATTCTTAGACTTCAGACAAGATGAGCTGGAATAATTTTAGAACAAATATATACATAGTTAGAAAAAGCATGTTCCAGAGATATCACCTAAAAAGAGTTTTTAAGGCTTAGATCAGCAGCCATACAAGACACTTAAGGCAGATTTGAGGCAAAGATGGCCCCCCATCATGGGGAATGAACTCTTGTCAAAGACAGACATCATCTGAATCAGTGATTCTGGAGAATAAAAACCACCTTCTGGTTGGATGAGTTTTGAGACAAAAGACCATTGTTCCTGAAAGCAGCAGGGTAGGGAGTTGTGCATCTTTGATTTATTTTTTCCCACACATTGTTTATTCATTTAAAGGCAGTACATTATATTCTGTTTTCTGTGTTTCAGACATCTGTTATTTTGCATGTCCATTTACCAATTAATTAATAGAGATCTCTTCCCTCTCCAACAATTGTGCTGTGAACAATCAATCAATTAGTTAGCTGCAGAAAAAAAGAATGGCAAGATGTCTGGCTAATATACAACCTATAATACAAGAAGAAAAGGCAGCCTTCTGAAGTCTGTGAGTATAAACAACATCAAACATCTGTACAACAAAGAAAAAAAATCTATCACCAGCAGGCAAAAATTCCAGAAACAGAAAGCCTTAATTCCTTGCTGAAGGGGGAAGGAGGGCATGAGAGAGGGAGAGCAGAGTTAAGAGAGGGGATTAACACCAGTTAAATTTTCAGGTTTTTACCATTTTAAGCTGTATATGTCTCAGCTGTTCTTGTGAATTCCCTCCCAGAGGCTGCACCACACGGCTGGAGTCAGTCCAGGATGTTTAGGATGTCAGCAATAAGTATAATTACCTCGTGAAGTTATTTCCTTTATTAGTACAGTATCAGTCAGGGGTTTTCCACGGGAAGGATGATCTCCAAACAGATTAAGATGTGGTAAAAGTATTGATTGTCTACTCTTTTTACTGATAATTTGTTGTATCAGATTACTTGGGCGTATAAAGCTCTAAGTTGTAGTAAAAATGTTTTTCTACTCACATGAGGTTTTACAGCATGGAAACTTGTAAATGTTGGGACTGAATAACTTGAAGTATAAAAACCCACAGTTATTTTGCTGGGTCAGCTCAGTGTTTAACTTTCTAACCATTTTTTTACGTTAAACATATATAAAATTTTCAAACTCAACCTGACATCTGGGAGCCTTAGAGAAGATTTAGGAAAGAATTAGGCATTTCAAAGCAATTAGGGCAGAATCAGTTAATGATCATAGTTTTGTCAGGTCTTTCTCAAGTAAATAGGTGTTAAGGACACTGAAATGCTCACGTATGTTTGGGAGAAACTTGACTGAATGAGAGGAAGGGTAACAGACTGAATTTTCTTGGAATTATGGGTCCAGAAAAATTTATAATTTAATACTTTTTGGCAACACCTTTGCCTCATTCTAGCTTATTTTAATTTGCTCTGCAGGTTCATTAAATCATAAAGGAGTAAAACCATGTTAAAAAAATACAAAAATACCACACATAGATTTGATTATGAGCAGTTATTGTATTTATCTTCACACCTTGTCAGAACCAGAGTAATGTTCAGGTGTAGGTGAACACCATGGGGGCCTTTATTGAACACATTGCAGAAAGAATGTGGGGTTTGCTTTTTTTTGTTTTCTTGAAGAAGAAAGGAATTTATATTAATTTTCTGTTCACAGCTACAGAGTTGAGAGTGGAGTTCTATTATCTCCTTTTGTCCTTCTCATGGATGATTGTAAAATTTTCTGGTAGTTAAGTTACCATATGCTGAGGAATCGTGAAATATTGATCTATCAGCACATAGTCTGTCTTCGACAGTCTTTTCAAACACAGTAATCATGTGGCAGCTGTACTTTACTCAGGAAAAACAGAATTATGCAAATACAAACACTGTTCAGTTTTAATGGCACATTATTTAGCAAGATAGCGGCTATATATTTGAAATACGAGCAGACTTTGATCTCATTTTTACTGCTTTACAGATGTATTTTCTTTTTAAGGTGCTCAAGGTTCTGGCTGGTGAGGACCTGACTAATCAACAATGCCTTTTTTTTTCAGCGTGCCT